ATACAAGATCTTGGAAAGAAGAGGTCCAGTAGCGTATAAGATAGAGTTACCTGAGACAATGAGTACCGTCTTTCCAGTTTTCCATGTATCGCAACTCAAAAAGTGTTTGCGTGTTCCGGAGGAAAGAATAGAACCTCGGGGCATCAAAATCAAATCAGATTTGGTGTATCGTGAGCAACCGGTCCGTGTGTTAGACACTAAAGAACGTGCTACTCGGAATAGTGTGGTGAAAACATATAAGATACAGTGGAATCATCATGATGAGGGAGATGCAACTTGGAAAACGGGGGAATATCTACAAAAAGCTTATGAAGATTTTTATAACAAATGGTTCGTAACCCAAATCTCGGGACGAGATTTTTATAAGGGGGAGGGCTGTAACACCTCGTTGTTAAGCGTGCATTACCATTTCATCCCATAAGCATAATCATCATCACCTCATGCATAAGCATCATTCATGCATTTTATTTTGAAAGAAATGAAGTATCATTTCTTGTGGTGCTTAAGTTGATTGAAATTCATTATGTTTAAAACAATGTGAAATGCCATGCTCATGTTTGGATGCCCTGATTTTCTTGTTTTGATCACTAAGACAGCTAGAAATAATTAGGATACAATTTGGAGCAAAGTTCATATTTAAATTTTTACCAAATTTTGCCTTGAAAAATAATTCTTCAAAATTAGGGTTTTAAATTAATATTGATTTTATTTTGTAATTCAAAATCTATTTGGAATTTGACTTTGGTCATAAAAGAAAAGTTGTAGATCTTGAAAAATGGAACAACTTTCATTTTTACACCAACTTTTGAAACTGCTTTGAAATAGTTCAAAAATTTGTTTGAATGAAAAAGGAATTGAAAATAATTTGAAAAAAATCACATTTTCACTTTATGGGCCGCTACCTGCTTTACCCACTGCCCTCACCATTGTCGCTTTCGCTTGCTCGCTTCAGCTTACATGGCGCCCGACCGACGATCGAAAGACACGCCACGCATGGCGTGGCCGCCATAAGCGCGTGAAGCTTTCCAGTGTGAATCGGCTCGCCCTTCTCGCCCTCCACGCTGCCTACATCTCGCTGAAAGCGACGTCCGCCTCCTCCCTCCATCTCATTTTCTCTCACTCGCTCAAGAAGAAGAACATCCATGCAAGACGCCGCCCATATGCCATCACCATCTGCGCCGCGTCTCGCCGGAACTAGCTCGCCCGGCCGTCCCATCTCGCCGTCGAACCCTCCATCTCGCCCGCAGCTCCGCCTCCACATCGCAGCTGTGCTCGTCTCCGATTCGATGTGGTAAGGCTCGAGCCGGCCGCTATTGCTTTCATTGGAGCGCGCCGAAGCTCACCGGAGAGCTCCGCTCCCGTGGGCACCCCCTCTCCGCTCCACCTTTCTCCTCCCTTTCGCGCGCGTGAGAACCGCCTTGACCTCGCGAACCTCGTGCGCTCCTTCCCGTGCCTTGCCGTGGCCGGAGATGGCCGGCCGTCGGTGAGCCACGCCACCGCTCCGCCATGCGCGCCGTCGAGCCCCATTCGGAGCTCCTCCCGTGCCTTCTCATGGTGCACCGTGTTCGCCTCGTCGCGGGTGAGCTTGCAGGTGACTGGTGACCGCCGGGCCGGTTGGCACACTCACCGTCGGCGCTGAGCGGCCGGATCGGCCACCGCCCTGCCTTGGTCTCGCCGATAGGTGGGGGCCGTTGACCATGGGGGCCCGCTCGTCGGTATACTGCTCTCAGTGCAGGTGCACAAAGACCGGGTGCATCCAGCATTTTCGTCGACTGATTTTTGAAAGGGTTTAAGAAATGATTTTTCAGATTTCTGTTTAAATGCTTTGGAAATTTATAACTTGCTCAAAATGGCTCCAAATTTGTTGAAACAAATTTTGTTGTGTTCCTTGTCACTAGATCTACATGATAAAAATATTGCATATCATTTTTGAGATACTTTAATGTAGAGCTTTATTTAATTCTTGATATTGCTGATATCTTGTGAAATGTATAATAAATAGAATATAGGTTAGAAAAATATGGTTCTAATTTTGTTGATCTATTTAGGTGATGTACTTTCTGTGAAAAATATATGCCATGCATGTTCTGTAGAAAAATTATGAGGTGTAGTTCAAGTGCCTTTAATGGCTGAATTTTGTTATTTTTGCTAGAGAGCAAAATTTGTATAAAACATGCATGTGATAATTTTTGTACAGTGATGGTATGCTATTAAGATCATAGGAAAAATATTAAATCTGTTGTTTGACACTTTTCATAATACAAAGTATTTTCATGTTCATAATTATGCCATAGCTTGTCATTTTTGTGTAGGCTACTCCACTTATTCAAATGTCATAAAAAATTAATGGTAGACTACTTAGGATAGTACTGTGCTATGGTAATTTTCTAAGATTTTTCTAAGCTATAAAAATAGATGTTGCTATTCAAACCTATTATTAATTAGGGTTTAATCAAATGTTGCTTTATGTATGATTAAGAAATTAGTGAAGCTTTGGTGTATCTTTGAAGCATTGAATGAGATGTGTTGACTTAGCATATTAGTAGTAGAAGAGAATGCAGTAGATGACATGTGCTCGTAGTACATGTTCTTGGAGGATGTTGACTACCTTGCATTCAAGCATATCCATTGTGTTCATTTCATCCGATGCACCTTTTGCATAAGCACTTACGCACTGCATCATACAGATCGTGAAACCGAGAGCCCAACGTCATACCCGAGGAGCCCGAGGATCAGCTCGAGGTGCAGCCGCGAGGAAGTGACCGAAGCGGATTTAGGAGGACGTTGAGGAACTTCCTGAGTGCCCCGATCACCGCCGAGCTCCTTCGAGAGAGGCAAGCCCCGAGCATTTTTCTCCCGGTTTGCAATTATTAATTAAATGCTTTACTTTAATTGATGCATTACGTTCGTGAGTTGTTTGCAACCGTTCTTTGCATTATACCTTGTCTACCTTTGTTATACTATATCCTTGTTACCACGGTATCCGCAATGATCAGTCAATGCTTACCTCGGCTTAGACCGGTAGAAGTCGGGTGATTTCGTCACCGCGAGCTATAGGTGGTTACACGGATCTGCTTGGATAACTATGTAGTCATGGTATAACTAAGTGTTAATTGAAGTTGAGACCGGACGGAGACTTACGAGTTTTGTACTTGTAGTGCTTTCCGTGCAATGGTTTATTAAGGACCGACCGTTGTTGGGCCTCGTGTCATGTTGAACGCATGCCTTACATTTAGTCGGCGAATAAAGTACCTTTTCACCGCAAGCCGGGAGATTATTCGGCCGAGTAGATTGCCCGCAGCCGCCTTTAATCGGAAAGCAGGTGTGGTAGGACACGGGGGCGCGATGATAAGACCAAAGGGCAGTCGGTCGGCCCCCGGGTACATGTGGTTCCTAGCAAACTCGAGATTTTTCTGGATAGTTGACTCGGTGACCGATACCTCACTTTAGCGGGTGAGTGAGGTTTGTGTAAGGAATAAATCACCAGCTGGTTAGGAATCGATTCGAATCGCCATCGCTCCTGGATAGTGAGCACTTGACTTGAGTGACTTCATCGTAGTAATGTTGATGGAACACTTGGACAGTTATAAGGAATATGACATTATGGAAGTTGTTAATGATCATTGGTTATTATTATTTGCTTAATCACATGCTTGCTCTAGTATAGGTGCAAATGTAGTCGACAGGTTAATAATAATTAACTTGACAATAATGCTTTTGGAAAAATTCTTAAAATACTAAAAATGCCTCTTTTTGCAAATGAGTCAGCTACCCTACTATAAAGCCCTTCATAATCCTTGGTGTCACTTTATTTTCGGTTATGTCGGGTAAGTCTAGCTGGGTAGCTTCTCATACTCAGGGTTTTATTCCAACTTGTTACAGATGGGCAGATGTATTACGGCTACTGTATCAACTGCCTTTATCCTACGATGGGTGATGCTTAGGACCACGGGCATGGTCATTCTTACGTCTCGTCTGATGCTTTTGTTGGAGATGATCATTAGCTGGCACTGTATTTGAACTTCGTGTGAGTGCGTGTGGTTTTGAACAAATGGCTTCCGCTACTTTTATTCGAACTCGTTTGTAATAACTATGTTTAAACTCTGATGTATCTGTGATGCGAACTTTTATGTAATATGTGATGGTGACCGCTAAACTTATTACGATCTTGGTTGGTATGTGAGTTGGTTTGAAATCCTTCGTGATTTCACGGACTACCGGGTTATACAGGCTTAAGTTTGCTAAATCGTCTGCTCTGGCGGATGATTTTCTTACTTAATTTCGTATAATTGGTCGGTCCTGTTACAGTGCAAAACTTTTTTTTTTGATAATGTCACCGGGGGGAGAGGGTCTGTTATGGTAGGCAAGACGTATAAGCGCCGAACCAAGGAGCAAAGTGGCTAAGAAGTTGGATTAGATTTGATTCGATTTGGAGTTTCCTTAACTAGAGGTTTCCTTAATTATAGCATCAGGAGTTTGAGTCTAATTGTATAAGAGTCACATTTTACAAATTAATGGGATAACCTGGGATTGTGTCATATTGACACCCTTGGGCGCCTGGCACCCTAACCCTATCTCTCTCTATCCCTCGCTTCCTCCAGCGCCGCCGCCAGCGCCAGAGTCAGCCCCTCCACTCTCCTCTATACGCATTACGTAGCAAGGCCAGGCGCCATACCAACCTGGTATCAGCTCCATCGCTGCCCATGGATTCCGCCGCTTCCACCACTGCTCCATCGTCGTCGATCCCACCCGCATCCACCACCAGCCCCACGTCGGGCGTGTCGCTGCCCCTGGTGAACACGACGCCGCCCGCGCCGCCGCCCACCCTGGCCTCGATCGCTGAGATGTTGGCCAGCATGCAACTTAAGATGACCGCCATGAACAACCACCTGGCGGATTAGGGAGCGTGCCTTTCGGCCCTCGACAGCAGGCCGGTGTTCCCTCACTTTGGCTTGCCAGGGTTTGGGGGCGTCCCTCGCCTGCCCGCATCCTCCTCACCGATGATCACGGAGATCGCGGCCGCCACTGAGAACTCCTCCGCCTCGGCACCGGTGGCACCGTCCATGCCGCTGTCCCTTCCGGCGCCGCCACATTCCCAGCAGTACCAGCAGGCGCCAACGCCACTGCCCGGGGGGGTGCCGATCACTCAGATCAGGTTTCCGCCCTCCCCGTCGCCAATCCCAGGGTTCAGGGCCGTGGCTCCTATGCTGCTCCCGGCCTCCGCTCACATGGCCCCATCACAACTGTACCCCCCGCCGCCATCGGAAGGGGAGTCTGTCGTTGTGTCGAAGTACCACAAGATCACCTTCGACACGTACGATGGCCGCGATGATCCCCTGGGGTGGCTCAACAAATGCGACAAGGTGTGGATGGCCTCATATCACCTGAAGGGAGTCGCCCAGCAGTGGTACCTTGTACTGGAGACCGACATCGGCCGCCCATCGTGGCCGGATTTCCGTCGATACTGCCTACAGCGCTTCGGCCCTGCCCTCAACACCAACCACCTGGCCAGGCTGCCATTCGGCGCCAACGTGGACGCATACATGGAGGCATTCCAGGCCAGGGCAGCGCACGCGGAGGATCTCACCACGCTGCAGCGCGCCAAGCTTTTCACAGGTGGCCTTCCTGACTACATTCGGGTGGATGTTGAGCTACACCAGCCCTAGAACCTTCAGCACGCCATGTATTTGGCTCGAGCCTTCGAACGTCGCAACGCGCCACAGCGTCTGGCCCTTCCAGCTCCCCAGCGGGCCGCACGCCGCCCGGGGGGCGCTCCGTCGACCATGCCAGCGTCCGCGACGGGAACCACGGCCGACTCCACCAAGGCATTCAAGCGGCTCACACCCGAGGAGATGGCGGAACGCCGAAAGCTCGGCCTCTGCTACAATTGCGACGAGCCGCTCGCTCGCGGGCACAAATGTGCCCGTTTGTTCTACTTGGAGGCTCCCGATTACATCGTGGAGGAGCCGGAGGACCTAGACGATGCGCCGCAACCGGCTGAAGAGGCCCAATTCGACCCGAAAAAGCCGATGATCTCTCTGTCCGCGGCGACGGGCATTCGGGCGTGCGACACCATGCAGCTGCGCGTCAAGATTGGTGCCCACGAGCTCACGGCACTCTTGGACTCGGGGTCGACACACAACTTCATCAACCCTGAGGCAGCACGCAGCGCTGGCCTTCAGTTCTCCGACAGCGCGGGCGCCCACGTCATCGTCGCGAACGGTGACCGCGTCGACTGCCAGGGCCTCGCGTGCGGCGTTCAGCTGCGGATCGGCACCGAAAGGTTCACGGTGGACTGTTTCTCCATCCCCTTGGCGCCGTACGACATGGTCCTCGGCCTCACGTGGTTGAGGTCGTTGGGGCCCATCCTCTGGGACTTCGCCACACTACGCATGGTGCTCTCCTTCCGCGGTCGCCGGGTGGTGTGGACCGGCGTCGGCGCGCCGGCCGCGGCGTCCCCGACAGCCCTGTTCACCACAAACCTCTGCCTCGACAAAGGCTCCGAGCGCGCCCTCCTCGACCTGCTGCTGGACACCTACCAGGAAGTGTTCGCCGAACCCGAAGGGCTTCCACCGGCCCGAGCGTGCGACCACCACATCCATCTGAAGCCCAACACCGAGCCAGTGGCGGTCCGGCCGTACCGCTACCCCCAACTCCAAAAAGACAAGCTCGAGCTGCAATGTGAGGCGATGCTCCGCCAAGGGATCATCCGGGCCAGCACCTCACCCTTCTCCGCGCCCGTGCTGTTGGTGAAGAAGCAGGACGGATCGTGGCGCTTCTGTGTCGATTACCGGGCCCTCAATGCGGTCATGGTGAAAGACAGGTTTCCAATCCCGGTTGTCGAGGAGCTACTCGATGAACTACACGGCGCCAAGTTCTTTACTAAGCTAGATTTGCGCTCCGGCTATCATCAGGTGCGGGTTGCTGCTGCAGATGCCCACAAGACGGCGTTCCGGACACACCACGAACACTTTGAGTTTCTGGTGATGCCTTTCGGCTTGTCCAATGCACCGTCGACGTTCCAGGCGCTGATGAACTACGTCCTCAAGCCATTTCTCCGCCACTGCGTCCTCGTCTTCTTCGATGACATCACGATCTGCATACTCCTCCGGACGGAGCATCTCCGACACTGCGCGTGCGATCCTCGGCGTCCTCCGCGCCCCCGGCTCCACCTCAAACGGTCGGCGGTGCGTTCGCCACCTCGGTGGTCCACTACCTCGGACATGTCATCACCGGGAGGGTGGCTATGGACACGCCAAGGTGGCGGTAACGATCTGGCAGCGCGCTCGCGCGCCACGCACGCGCGCCTCTGGCGCTGCTTCCTCGGGCTGGCCGGGTATTACCGGCGGTTCATCAAGGACTACGGGATCATCGCCGCGCCGCTGACGCAGCTGCTTCGCAAGGACGCGTTCTAGTGGACGGACGCGGCTGACACCGCCTTCTCCACCCTCAAGGCTGCCCTCACCACCGCACCAGTCCTGCACCTTCCGGACTTCGCCGCCACATTCGTCGTGGACTGCGACGCCTCCGGATCGGGCTTCGAGCCGTGCTGCATCAAGATGGCGCGCCCATAGCCTTCTTCAGCCGGCCGTTCGCCGCACGCCACCTCAAAGTGGCGGCGTATGAGCGTGAGTTGATCGGGGCTTGTTCAGCGCGGTGCGCCATTGAGGCCCCTACTTTGGGGCGGGCGTTAAGTCGTCGAGGGACGGACCACTACGCCCTCAAGTTCATCTTCGACCGGCGCCTATCTACAATTCTCGCAACATCACCGGATTAGCAAGTTGTTTGGGTATGATTTCGTGGTGGAGTTTCGTCCCGGCCGCTCCAACGTCGCCGCGACGCCTTCTCTCCCGGGGCGGCGGCGCGCTTCCGCCGTCCGTCCTTTTTCCAGCCACACGCGGCTGCTTTCTCCCATCTTGGTGCCTACTTTCCGGCTCTTGACGATTTGCGACAGAGAGGTGGACACCGACCCCCAGATCAAGGCTGCTTGTCATCGACGCTGCGGGTCACCGGAGACCACGGTGACTCTGATGCGTCCCGCGAGGGGTCTTTGCTACACAAGGGCGCGTCTTCGCGTTCCAAACTCATCGCCGCCTCGACGACGTCCTCCAGCTCGCCCACACGGGGGCCACGAGGGCATCCAGAAGACGCTATTTCGCCTCCGCATGGAGTTCTTCGTGGAGCACGACCGCCGCGTCGTCGGCGACTTCGTGCGGTCCTGCGCGGTGTGCCAGCGAAACAAGACGGAGACGCTACACCCGGCCGGGTTACTACAGCCCCTGCCGGTGCCATCGCGTGTGTGGGCGGACATCTCCCTCAACTTCATAGAAGCCCTGCCCAAGGTCCATGGCAAGAGCGTCCTACTCACGGTGGTGGACAGGTTCTCGAAGTACGCTCATTTTATTCCACTCGGCCACCGTACACAGCCTTGTCGGTGGCCCACGCCTTCTTCCATGACATCGTTCGGCTACATGGCTTCCCGGAGTCCATCGTCAGCGACCGTGATCCGATGTTCACGGGTCATGTGTGGCGCGACCTCTTCCGTCACGCCGGCGTCAAGCTCCGCATGAGTTCTGCGTTCCACCCGCAGACAGATGGGCAGTCCGAAGCTGTCAACAAGACCATTACCATGTATCTTCGATGTTTGACAGGGATCGGCCGTGTGACTGGCTGGATTGGCTCCCATGGGCCGAGTTTTCCTACAACTCATCCTACCACACGACGCTCCAGACCTCCCCGTTCCAGGTGGTGTACGGTCGGCCGCCCCGCACTTGCGCCCCACGCCCGGGACAAAGCGCCGCGACGGCGGTGGACACCCTGTTCGCCAACCGGGAGGAGTTCCTTGAGGAGGTGCATGCTCGACTTCTCCAAGCTCAAGAGCACGCCCGCAGGTTCTACGACGCCAACCACCGCGAGCTCGAGTTCACCGTCGGCGATTGGGTGCTCCTTCGGATGCTCCACCGCCACACGAAGAATCTGGTACCTGGCGGCCGGGGCAAGCTGGCGCCCAAGTACGCCGGCCCGTTCCAGGTGACCGGCCGCGTCGGCGAGGTGGCCTATCGTCTTCAGCTTCCCGAGGGCGCACGCATCCACGACGTCTTCCATGTCGGCGTCCTGAAGCCATTCAGGGGTACACCACCCCGGTCAAAGGCCGGCCCGCCTCCTCTACGTCACGGTGCCGACCACCGTGCAGCGGCCGGAACGCTGCCCTCCGCTGTAACTTCGCCATGGCGCGTGTGGCACGTCCTCGTCGAATGGGCGGGCATGCCGGTGTCAGAAGCAACTTGGGAGCTGGTTCCGGCGTTTCACGAAGCCCATCCCTCCTTCCAGCTCGAGGATTTGAGCTATTTCCGAGGGGGAGAGATGTTATGGTAGGCAAGACGATATAGCGCCCAACCAAGGAGCAAAGTGGCTAAGAAGTTGGATTAGATTTGATTCGATTTGGAGTTTCCTTAATTAGAGGTTTCCTTAATTATAGCATCAGGAGGTTGAGTCTAATTGTATAAGAGTCACACTTTACAAATTAATGGGATAGCTCGGGATTGTGTCATATTGACACCCTTGGGCGCCTGCACCCTAACCCTATCTCTCTCTATCCTCGCTTCCTCCAGGCGCCATGCCACCTCACTCTTCACCGCCACCAGGCCTTGTCACCCCTCCACTCTCCTCCATACACATTACGTAGCAAGGCCAGGCGCCATACCAGGGTCCCCCACCTGTATATATTTCAGCTAGGCCCTAACGGCCTGAAATCACAAGAGTTTAATTTTACATCATAGTTGAGCTTCATTGCTCAGAGACTTAAAACTTATTACATATTAAATTGGTTAGCACAGGAGCCTTAGTTCATGATTGGTTAGAAGGGGGCAAAACTCTCAACAGTTACCAAAACTGTAGTGCACATCTAGATATAATCTTGCATAGGTTTTGACAAGAAGGTTTTAGTTGGCCGATTGGTTTTAAAGTTGCCTAATTCACCCCTCCCCCTTCTTAAGCGTCCCTTCACTAACTATTTCACAAAAATCCATTAAGACCAAGTCTATGACTGTGAGTAAGGATGGTGATGTCGTTCTGCATAGCAACTTGGTAGGTTTTCAATCATATTTGCACATATATATACTTTGTGAATATTATTTATTATTTAATCCAGGAGAGAAGAGCATAGGTTTGGCATGGACTCTAGTTGGTTACATGTGTTGTTTGTTAAAGTACCTATGTTAGTGGTCTACTACTTGCTAGATGATAAAAAAAAACAACGTTGCTTTGTTGCCATGTTCCTTTATTTAGTACTCTAGTTTGGAATTTGTAGCTTTGTATGAGACTATGTCCTGTGGAACTTGTGAGTTGTGGCTATGAGTCAAAAAGTCTGAGAATGTCCTATGTCTATGTCTACTGTGATGGTTGAATCTATGAGACGGTGAACTCCTGAATTGTGATTTATGTACTCATTATTATATTTGTCATTGTGTGATACATTTCCTGTCCAGGTGCTTCAATGACATAATGAGTATGTCTGTTATTAAGTTTAATCGATAACCGATATAATTTAATTGACACTGAAGTTAGTCAGTTATTTGATTTCTAGGAATAACTTCATTGAAGACAATGCCATAACTGAAATAATTAAAAACCAAGTTAATCGAACCGAATTCACCAGTTTAGCCGA